AACTCAACTACAATAAATGAACAATATTATTCAACCTCTTCCTTCTCCAGAGGCAGAACATTCAGTAGACTTATTTTCTACACCGTCAAAGGATTAAGTTCACACCACAACGCATGAGCGGAGATTGAAAATGAACTTTTTGACCCTGGAAACAGCAGTTGACTGCAATCTCACCACAAGGTCCATTAAGTAGCTGCTCTGGAGCTTTAAATCGTATTGTATTACAGTATACATACACTTTTCCTCGGCAGATGGAGGTGTCATGGAATTGCAGATGGTCAAATTACCAATTTCTGAAGGACTTGTATTCCCTGTTGGCTAAAAAGTTTAGATTGTTAGTTCGTTCTTAACCTTCTCACATCTCAGCTTCATTAGCTTTCTCTCATGAAACAAGAGCTAGCCAAAGACTGAGGGAACCGACAACCAATGCAATAAACGACGTTTGAAGTGTGTTTTCAGCCATTTGTCATTTCTTACTGATGCCTACAAATTGTTATTGTTGCTATGTGACAACCGAGCTGTTGATCACGATCATAGCAAACTGCATACGCCCTCAAAACACCATCGAAAAGCCGCGCACACACACAGGGTCTCACACAGACCCAGACAGATAATATGTCCCATATGCGTGGCTGTTTTAACATTTTTAAAAAGTTGCATTCTGCAGCTTCCTCTGAGTCAAGCCTGTGATGTTCACTGCAGCCTCCCAGCGTCCCCGGCACGCTGCAGTGCAGTTTATTTTCTTGACTGCGGGCCAGTGTGTGATGAGGCTGTTGGTGTTTGGAGACGGGGGGCCCGCTGACCGCATGTTGACTAGCTGGGTGTTGCCGCTGGAAACACTGCAAACCTCCAGAAAACATACACAGACAGGCAGAGCAACACACAGATACACAGATAAACAAACCTAAACGTTTATCTGCAGTATGTTGGTGCATAGTGGAAACATGGAAATGGGGGAATGATACGTGTGTGTGTGTTCAAGTATGGATCTGTTTATTTCCTTTCACAGCGGTTGTCTACATACCAAGCGGCTGTTATCCCAAATCTTCCTCTCTATCTCACTTCCTCTCTTCTTCCCTCCCTCCTCTGTCTGTGTCTCTCCCTTTCCTGTATCTCTTTCTCTTCAGATGTGTATTTTAGCGAGTTTTTGAAGGGGGAAATCCGAATGAGGCGTTTTGTGCTATGCTTATGAAGCTGTGGTACCTCGGTGCAGCTAGAGGAGAAACATAAAAATGTCTCCATCTGTTCAAATATTTGTTTTTCATTCAACGTGAAACACTTTCTTTGCAGATACCACCTTTATTTCCCTCTTTTTTGGGGGGTGGGGCGGGCGGAGGACAGATTTTGGTTCATTCCCATAAAGTCTGCAGAGCGAATGTAATGCAGCACAAGCAAATAGAATTCCCCAGTATTCTCCAGTGGTCTTTTTAATGCCCCACCTTCTTTAACAAAGCTGTGTCCAAAGTTTTCTCCTCTTTCTTCCCTCTCTTTGTTTCTAATTTGACCCTTCTTTCTCTCTTTTTTTCCCATTGCTACATCTTTTCTTTCACTTCTGTATCTGTTTTCTTACTGTCCACGAGGACTTCTTGAAAGTCCAGAAAGTTTTCCAATTTGAGTTTTGTTAGCATTAGACCTTACACCGAACTCCCCAAATCTAGATTTTTTAGGATTTTTAGGAAATTATAGTAAACAACTTAAACAGTTGGTTCTTGCTTTCAGGCAGAAGTGGACAAAAACAAGTTTATTATTTCTGCACCGCTAATGTCAATTTCTGCTGAAATGACAAGATTTTATCAGCTGTAGCTCATTAAGCTAACTCTCAGCTCCATGAGTTGGTTGAAAGTGACTCTGTCTCTGACTGGCTTTATAAACGCTTCCCGTTGTTTTGATGCGATAATCTTGTGAAGGGTGTCTTTAATATGCATCCTCACCAGATGATGATCCATGTAGCAGCAGCAACAGCTTTGTTCCTGTATTGTAGTGTGGAGCTACTTTTTAAGAAGAAAAAAGATCAGATATTTCATTTTAACATAATCCTGTTTGGTTGCTTGGCTTACATGGTCGTATTTTCAAACAGTATGACCTCACTTATAAGGGTTATAAGAGAAAGGCTTTTAGCATGAGGACTTACAGATGTGTTTGGCAAACCCAGCGCTCTCCCTGGTGAAGTTGGCCGAGGTAGCTGGAGTGTAACTTGCCTAAATTTGCTAACCTTTGCCTAAACTCTGATAAAGTAGCACTCTGGACCGACTCCCACACAGTGGGGAATTACTACAGAGCCAATGTGGTATTGTGAACTGTAACCCCACAGACTAATGTAGTTAGTTAATGACGTGCTTGGTTGTAGGCTAGTTAGCCGAACATACTAACGATTACAGCGCAGATAAACACACAATTGAATCAGTTTCTCCTCATTTCTTGTGGGGTTTGTTTTGGTTTTGGAAAGTATAGAAAAAACAGACGCCACCCTCCACACTCCTTAAAGAGTATCACAGCCAGTTGGCTCATTTGACACATTTCTTGAAGCAAGACACAAGATTTTAGGCTTAAAATCACCCCATCTGTTTCCAGAT